TTAAAGATTTTGGATACTAGCCCTTTGTCCGATATGTCATTTGCAAATATCTTTTCCCATTCCGTTGGTTGCCTTTTAGTTTTGTTGGTTGTTTCCTTTGCTGTGCAGAAGCTTTTTATCTTCATAAGGTCCCAGTAATTCACTTTTGCTTTTAATTCCCTTGCCTTTGGGGATGTGTCGAGGAAGAGATTGCTACGGCTGAGGTCAGAGAGGTCTTTTCCTGCTTTCTCCTCTAAGGTTTTGATGGTTTCCTGTCTCACATTCAGGTCCTTTGTCATCTAAGATTTAAAAGCAAAGATATTCGGATAGGAATCTTGTTTGGCATAGGTGACAAGTGACGTGTTCTCCTGGCATCTTCAGGATGTGTTGGCTCCTATGAGGTCATGTTTAAAATAGTCATAGTTGCTTATATGTATAATTTTTCCCTTCAGAAAAAATGACACAAACATGCATTTCATCAAAGGGGTCCATGATCCTAAAAAGGTTTAGAAATACAAATTTAATCAAGCATTCCAGTCCATTGAATGCAGTCTCGTCCCAAATCTCATATGTGAGTCACCAATTTAAGCAGTAGAATGTAGAGGCATCTGGGTGGCTCAATAGGTAGAGCATGTGACTGTTGATGTCAGAGTCATGAGTTCAAGCCCCAGGTTGGGCATGAAGCCCACTTAATTAAAAAAAAGTTGTTAAAAAAGAAGTAGAATGTAACAAAATACGTTAAACGATAGAATTGCTTTGAACTTAGCATATTACAATTAGAGTTATATTGATATTATCAGTGCTTCACGAGCATTACGAAGAATCAAATTGATCATTCTATCACTTAAATCAACAAGTATTCATTTTGTTGATTGTAAGTGAAATGAAATGTTTTTTTTTTTTAATGTTTATTTATTTTTGAGAGAGAGAGAGAGAGAGAGAGAGAGAAAGCGCGGGCAGGGGAAGGGCAGAGAGGGAGGGAGACACAAAATTCGAAGCAGGCTCCAGTCTCCAAGCTGTCAGCGCAGAGCCCAATGCAGGGTTCAAACTCACGAAGCACATGATCATGATCTGAGCTGGAAAGTCAGACACTTAGCTGAACTGAGCCACCCATGAACCCCGTGAAATGAACTGTTTTAAGTGAAATGAAAGACACATGAACACAAGTTATATCTTGCTGGTGAAGACTGAAAAGTATTAGCTAATGAATTTTGAGTTAATAAAATGTTGTAGAAGCAAGATTTTGCTACATGTGGGATCTAGGAGTTAGCGAATTTGTGAATACAACCAAGAATGATTTCCTGGAGGTCAGTGCTATTTTGTAGAGAAATTGGGCCCCACGTTGTTTTGGGGCCTCTTTTTCACAATCACACAGGTCAGATTGGCATTTCCACCCTTCACTTTTCACCGACAAGAGCAGTTACTATAAATAACCACTTGCTATATACCAGTAAAGTTTAATGTTCAAGTTAAATAATACAACGTTTATTGCACATCTCCCATTTAAGAGGATAAACCATCTCAGGTTTTTTTCAGTCAGAGATTTTTCTTAATTTGTAACTCTTTCCTGCTTCTAGTTTTACTGTGAGGCAAGCTCATTCTGCAAAGGACAAAAAGGAAAGCAAAGGACTTCATCGTTATTAGTTCATGAGACTAAGTAGGTAAAACTGCAACTCTTCAGGCAGTTTTCCATAATTCCTGGGTATCAAGTAGAGTGAGGCAGATGGGTAAAGGCATGAGGAGGAGTCAAATATGATTAATGGGCACAAAGACAGGCCCCTTTCCTACTTACGCCAACCAGCTAGGATTACTATCAATGTAGAGGTATCTTAAAAAGGAATACATTTCAAAAACTTTTTTACCTCTCTCTCTGCCCCAAAAAGGAACATGGTGTGAAGAATGGTCTTCAGTCAAGGTCTGTATGATAGAGAGCTCACTGGCTTACTCGGTGGTGATCCTTCCTGGCAAATGAGCAGATAGGGACTGACTTTCATGCTCATCTCTAACAGTCGCATTAGGCTTCTGTATCTTAAGACTTAAGGATGGAAATTGCAGCAGATGTAGCTTTCAGGACAGAGACCTTTGCCTTGGAGTGGACTCCACATCTCATCTCTTTTCCTTCACAGATCAGGGGGACAAGAACAATGCCCTAATGAATCAGGAAGTTTTGACTCTGCAAGAAATGCTTAACAGTCTCGACTTCAAGAGGAAGGTTAGTGAAGAACTTTAATTTGGCCTTTTGCCCATTTTTCTCCTTTTCCTGTATTTGATCCTACTGAAAAGACTCAAGCTCTTGGATTCCTTCAGTTCTATTTAAGCTGAATGAATAAATGGCAATGTTTCTAGAAAGAGTGCCATGCTGTTTGCCATGCTTCTCTTGCTAAGTTCACAAAGTTGGACCTCTTGCGAGTTTATTTATCTTGCTTATGCTGTACATTTACTGTAGCTACCATTAATTTCAAGGTGAATGTTCTACCCAATTTTTATTTGCCACTATTTCAGACATGACTGTCTTAGTTTCTGTACTTAATATGCTGATGTGGGTTCTCCTACACATGTATAATTAAAATATTATTTGATGACTACTAAAATTTTAATAGAAAAATCAATGTTCCAGTTTCTACTCTGAAAAATGACCTCATGCTAAATAATTTCTTAGATTTCAGGATAGTTCATTGACAACTGAGCGTATTCAATCTAACCTCCTTTCACGGAGAGGAAGAACTCCTTTCTGACAAAATGAAATATTTTTTAAAAAAGGGAAACATTTCTATTTCAACTTTCTATCTCTCCTTGAAAATAAATGCATTGAAATCTGAGCTGTTACTGATAAGTCAAGAGTTTATTTGTAACAGTTTGGCTTCATTTTTTGTGCAGGAATTTGTGTGAGCACAGATAAACGTAAAATTTATTTTCACCCTAAATTATAAACTTTAACAGTTAGATATCAGATTTTAAGCATGCAAGTATTTAATCCAAGATAAGCTTAATGCTTTTATGCATAATGCATCTATACTATATGTTTTATGCATGCTATCTTATTCTACTTCAGAAATAAGATTTTAAGGACAGAAGGAACCGGAAATAATTCTGTCCATTCACCTGATTGTATAGATCAAAATATAAAGTTCCAGCAAATTAAGTGGTTTATCCAAATTCACATAGCTTGTCACAGAACCAGGATAGGAATTCACAACTTCTCATCCTTAGGCCTTTGAAAGCTATACTTCTTCCTAAATTCAGATAAAGTCCTAATAAAAACTAATACAGAAAGACTCCAATTTTAGTCATTGCATTTAAAAATAAATGAATAAACATATTTATAAGAATATAAATTTATTCTGTGTCTTTTTAAATAATGGAGAAATGGCTGTATGACTAGAAGATTCAATATTGTCACAGGAGGTACAAACTCAATATATTTACACTAAATGATATTACATTATGAGATTGCTAACTGTGGTCATGCTTCTTTCTTTGTGATGTTATTTGTGATAATTTAATAGTTTGAAAAAGCAGTGCTAGGATAACTATAAGGTAGTATTTCATAAAGTATGTAGTGAGAATTGTAACCAAGCCTGTATCTTCCAGGTCAGACAAATTGTTTTACAGGTTGAATTATAAGTGACTTTGGTTGTGTCTCTTGAAAATCTTTTCAGTAGTCACCTTTGTTTTTAGGAAGCCCTCAGTAAAATGACACAAATAGTCAATGAAACGGACTTGTTAATGAACAGCATGCTGATGGAAGAGCTGCAGGACTGGAAGAGGCGCCAGCAGATCGCCTGCATTGGAGGACCGCTCCACAATGGGCTCGACCAGCTTCAAAACTGGTAAAACGAATTGACTTTAGTTTCTAGTGAAAACCACAGGAAGTACAAAGCTTCAGTGTAGCTCAGCCAGAGATGTATATGTGTTTTTTTTTAATGTTTATTTATTTTTGAGAGAGAGACAGATAGACAGAATGCAAGCAGGGGAGAGGCAGAGAGAGAGGGAGACACAGAATCTGAAGCAGGCTCCAGGCTCGGAGCTGTCAGCACAGAGCCCGACGCTGGGCTTGAACTGACAGACCTCAAGATCATGACCTGAGCCAAAGTTGGATGCTTAACCGACTGAGCCACCCAGGCGCCCCTATGTGTTTTTAATTTTATTCCTTTGGGGCAAAAACAAAGTATCTATAGAAGTCTATAGAATGCATCAGAAATGCTTACTTTTTCTCATCTAATATATTAATCTTAAAAGACTCAAGTGAATTTTTGACACCTGCAATAAATATAGCTTTCTATAAGGACATAAGAAACATAAGAAGCACTAACTTCAAAAGCTTAAAAAAAGATATCTTAGTTTTTAAATGTATATCTTAAGAAGTCAGGGTTCAACGTTAGTTTTGTGTGTTCAACAAAGTGATTTATTTTTGTATTTAAATGAAATATCTCAAATGGCTAATACAACAGGGCATCCCCTACCGTATACACATAGGCTATCATATACAGATATCCTTTGTATTGGAAAAAAAAAATGTGATAGGGCTTTCTTCTTCATCAGTGCCAAATAAAATTATCTGATCGAATGAGCACTTAGAAAAAATAATGAAAAAGAAGGAAAATGTTCAGTTGAAATCTAAAATTGCTTTCAAAGGGTACAGAGCAATACAAGGGAGATATGGCATAACTGGGGCCACTTGCACCCCGCCAGTCCCGCTTGTCAAGAAGAGTAAGGAATTGGGCTCTTTTTAAAACATACTGATTTTCCTTGGGGAGATGCTTTAATTCCCTAACCTCACTGTAATCCCTTGTTTTGAAAACAAGATAAACAACAAAGGAAGCCATCAAGAATTTAGCAGATAAGCGTGCTTACACCAAATACTGTGGGGGGTTGACAGATCTTTTCATAGCACTATGTGGGGAATAAACTTCTAAGTAGAAAGAGCTGCTGTCAGGGCCAGAAAGACTTAGCAAGTCTGTCCAGATATCCTGCCTCCTTGGGAGTGGACAGTCCCTTCAGTGTCCATTTCAGCCTCTCTCTTTCTTAAACTTCAGGCCCAAGAGCCCACCTCCATTTCTGAGGTGAGATCGCCACATAGTGAGTAAAACTCTAAGCATGTACCTTCTCCAGACAGATACACTGATAATTTTTGGCTAATACTTAGGATTTGAAAAATACATACTGGAGTGGGGAAGGCAGTTCATTTCATACTGTCTTTTTTCTTTAGTATTCTTATGCATAACACTCTTCATATCATGTATTTTTAAAGTTTTAAATTTGCTCTTTCTCTACCCGTTAGTGAGTACCATATCCTTAACATATATATGTTTAACAGACTTGTAAACAAAAAAATTAAAAGGGATTTGGTTCCAGATGTTGACAAAATTTTGTAAATGATGTCTATAACTATAGGTAAAAATGAGAAAACGTTGAAAATGTTTCCCATGCATCATACATCTTAGAGGAAAAACTAATTTGGGAAATAAACATACAGAACTGTCACTAACTTGTAATGGAATTAAGTAAATGATTGTATTAATTGAATAATTATTTAATAATTTATTATTTGCTAATGTGTTTAATAGTTAAAACGGTAGCTTGTTAAATGGGAAAACTATCTGCTGATTTTCATTTGTTGTTCAATAGCTTTACACTGTTGGCAGAAAGTCTGTTCCAACTCAGAAGGCAATTGGAGAAATTAGAGGAGCAGTCGACTAAAATGACATATGAAGGGGATCCCATCCCCATGCAAAGAGCCCATCTGCTAGAAAGAGTCACCTTCTTGATCTACAACCTTTTTAAGAAGTAAGTAAAGTATTATCCATTTAAATGCCTCATGGAAGCCTCAGTCTTGTGGGGTTGTAAGGACACCCTGGCTGGGGTTTTAGTGTTAAGGTGATGGGGGGTGGGGGGGGTAGGCAAGTGTTAAGCAGTGAGCCTCAGGGTAAAGGGAATAAAGCTACAGAGAGTTCCAGAAGCCTTTCTGCTCTTCACTATTTATTCAACACTTCTCCCAAGAACTGACTCAATTTTCCATAGCCAAGCACATCATCCAGCTGAAGTTCATTTTTCACATTTTAGAAAACAAGATTTCAATGATTTCTTCTTAAGTATATATCCAAGAAATGAAGAGTGGAGACCATGTTTATGTGTATTAGCTCATCTAAAAAAAAATTCTAACATCCAGAAATTCTAATATCCAGTTCAAAGATGGCATGAAATTAACTTTTCCTTTATGTTTAGTATGATAAAAATAGACTTTTATTCTTGACTCAAGTATAACAATTAAGAATTATTTACCATTGTTATTTAGGGACAATCTTTAGGCATTTTTTCCATCTCTTGGTAACTATTTATGAGAAGTCTTTGGAAAGATTTGAACTTAATGGACATTTGAATGTCTTCTAAGTGTAGAAAATTTGGATCTTTTAAGAGGACAGCATCCTGTTTCTCTGTGGTTTTCAGCCTGTCAATATTTTCAATGTTTTCAAGACGTGCTTTATTTCCTTTTAATCTAGCTCATTTGTGGTTGAACGACAGCCATGCATGCCAACCCACCCTCAGAGACCGATGGTACTTAAAACTCTCATTCAGTTCACTGTAAAGCTAAGGTAGGCAGAATGTGCTCTATCGTTTCATTTGTTTGTGGAGCCTCAGCCACTGCGTTAATTACAACTCATTTCTCTCATAGTGCCTTTCATTCAACTCTTCTTTATTAAGCACTTCCTGCATGCCCAGCACTGAGCTTTGGTAGATACCCTCAGAAATGTTAATATGAGGGCCCTGCTTGTAAAGAATATGACAATAAAGATGAAGGCCTGAAGGGTATTATCATGACAGTATGGAATCCCAACGTCGGGCATCATGGGATTAAAGGCTGAAAAGGCTGACTTGGTAGAGGCTAGCAAAGCCTTGTGGTCCCTATGAGGAAGGACCTTGCAGGAAGAGCAGAGACAGGAAGGAGAGTGGGATTGTAGGAGAGCGAGACGACAGAAATAATGACTTTCTGGGTCTGTTTTGTAAGCATGTGAAATAGGGAGAGGTAGACTTGAGTAGATTGGGGACAGAATATGAAAGGCTTTGAATATCTTACCCATGAAATATGATGGTATGTTCTTCCCCTGTGATTGCCCAGCAGCTAGCTTATAGGATTTTCCACAAAAACTCATAATGCTGTAAGTTTCAATATATCCTTACCATGTACCTGATTTAAAGACATATGACTTTTGTGTTATTGCTGCTTTGTCTGTGCATTTGATCCTTTCCATTAGCATGAGAAACCAAGACGTATCATTTTCCCTAGTGACACTTAAAATAATGAATTTGAACTCAAACTTTCAAAGATTTTCATCATGCATCAATCTCCAAGACCCCCAAGCTTTAAATTCCTAATCACTAAGTCACCTCTGACTACCATATGAGAGGTAATGATGCCATGGTAGATAGTGATTTAGGGCCCCACAATAGGGTCCCTGATCACACATCACTATTGGAACTTTATTTTTTTACTTTATTTTATTTTATTTTTTTATTCATTTCAAATCTATTGAGATGTAACTGACATACGCTATAGAAGTTTAAGATGTACAGTGTAACGACTTGTCTTACATAAGTTGCAAAATGATTACTACAATAAGTTTAGTTAACATCCATCACCTCAGAACTCCATTTTTAAAGGGAAGGCATTTTTCTTCAGTTTGCATTTTAAATACCTGACTTGAAATTCTTAATCATTTCCTTTGTGTGAATTTTGTAGTAAGACTTAAGAACCAAGAACAAAAGGCAGAGGCCAGGTTCCCTTTCAAAATTTCATGATTTTCAAAAGTTGTTCATTCATTCCTCATCCCTATATTTCTATAACCCAGAAGACAGTAACACTAAAGGGAAATAGGATAGAGGGGTGGTGGACATCCTACTTTTCCTTGAGATACCCCCAGAGATGAAATGGTAAGTCTAAGATGCTCTCTGGGACAAAAAGGGAGATGATTAGGGAATGTTCTCAGCCAAGAGTTCAGAGTGGAAGAAGCTCCCTGAATGGGCATCACCTTACATGTTGTTTGAACTGATTGCCAGGAGCCTAGACCATTAGTCCCTGATTTGAAAGCAGCGTTCCTGCTTTCCTCTTCCACCTGACTGTTGGTTCCCTATCCTTCTCTGTACCCTGTTCTTCACTGTCTTGATAGATGATCCTTTACTAATATTCAAACTTTTTCCCTAAAACCCCTCCCTCCCAAAGAATTCCAGCCTCCTATTTCAAAAGGAGCAGTGACATGGGATTCCCTTTAGTCATCAGCATCTCACAGTGGATCAGATCCTTCCTGAAGTATGATAGGAAGGCAGAGAGGGAAAACTTGCTGCCCTATTTCATATGACCTCCTCACCCTTCACTACTAACAACTACACACTTATCATATTCCAAACCCTAACACCAAACCTGTGCTTCATACAGGATTTTTAAGGAGCCTTTGTCACATTCTACCCACACTTTTGTTTGCGCTGTCTATCATCTGTGATTATATTCCTCTAATGCCAATCAGTTGCTTATTTCCATTTTCCACATTCCATCTATTAGATTTAGCTGGACCTCTTCCCTTTATGTGTAGCTACGTCCACACTTCCAGGGCTGTCCTGGCCATACATGAGGAGCTCAATACATGCTGAGTGAATGAATGAGTTTTGGGATGAGTGCATGATTGGGATGAGTGAGTGAGTGATTGGATTAATATCTCTGAGATCGACTGAACCCACAGAGAGGGTATATTAGAGGTTATGACTCAAACGATTGGGAAAAGCAAAAGAACAAAGGATCTGACACCAGAAGAAGAAATTAAAGGAATTCTTACTCTGATCTTTAATCACTTGTTTGGAATTAAATCTTTTTAAGTTATGAACATTTTTGCTGGGACTTACATAGTGTACTTAAAGATTGCAAATACATTTGAATTGGAATTTTTCAGATCCCAGAGGCCTGGTCTTTCTCAGACTTTTTGCCATAAAACAGTTATCATCAAAACATTTTAGTTTTACCAAGCTTAAATTTTTTTATGATATGAGAATAAAATGGAGCCATATTGATACACCGGAATGTTTTTCTTATATTTATACACTTCACCCAAATTTGAGCTTTAGCCAAAATATATAGCTATTTTTCTGACCTAGCCAATGTATTATCCAACATATATCAACTAAAGCAATATGGAAGTACTTCACAAATGTTTGTCAATATGATAGGAAATGGCTGATGTCAATATTAGTAACATGACAAACTAAAGAGGAATTGTACATTTTTATTTTTATTTATTTTTACTTTATTTTAATTCCAGTATAGTTAACCTACAGTGTTATATTAGTTTCAGATGTACAATATAGTGATTCAACCACGAATCACACTAACATATAACTGAAGATAACCTAAATTCAATTTATGTGTATAGGGCATAAATATATTTATATATTTAAATATAAAAAGGCTCTTAGCACTTTTAATTATTGGCTCTGATTCTTATTTATGTGTCTTTCCAGACTACTAATAAAATTGCCAGAACTGAACTATCAGGTAAAGGTGAAAGCATCTATTGACAAGTAAGTTTCTGATTTCATTTTGAAACATGAAAATGTGAGACTTTGTAAAAAGAACTTTCCTCATTCTATAGAATTATTTCAAACTTTTAAATATATTTCTCTAACATTACATATCAATGTACTTCAAATATTTGACTTTGAAGTTCAAACATTTAATAGAACTCCAATGAAGATTTCTTTAAAAAATTTTACTATAAAGTCTTGAAATGAAAATTTATGACTATATTATACTACTCTCTAAAGTATCAAAGGAAGTTTTTACTAGATCCATAAAATAGCTCATTTTAAGGAATCTTCTTGGTTTTACAGGAATGTTTCAACTCTAAGGTAAGAAATTTATTTTATATATTTTTTGATGGTCCCATAAATGTATTTTACCTGAGACCATGTAAATAGCTAAGATTTTCTGTCTAGCAATCGAAGATTTGTTCTTTGTGGAACTCATGTCAAAGCCATGTCCATTGAAGAATCTTCTAACGGGAGTCTCTCAGTAGAATTTCGACATTTGGTGAGTTCAACAGTAAAATTACACAAGCTACTCCCCCTCCCAAATCAGACACATCCTTAAGAATAGGCCTTATAATTAAATATATTTTGGTTTCTGGCATTTCTTATGTGAGATTAAGGGCCACATCGAGAAATAAAACATGCCATTATTGAAGAATTAAAAATGTTAGAAAGACCACAGTAACTTAACTCAGAAGTCCAAGTTCTCAAAAATGGTGAGAATAGTACCTAAGTATATACAGCAATTGGTCAATATATTTTGGAAATAATAACAGACATAATCGGTCTTGTAATGGATAGGAATTCCTGGTTTCATTTTTTAAATGTCCCCAAGAAATGATATCCAGCAACAACATGTCTGGCCGAAGGTGCTTTCATTTTTAGAGTAGCTTGTGGGCAGGTAGGATGTTCCTGGGTCTGGCGGTTGCACAGAGTGTGCCTTGGCATGTCTAGAAAGCTTCTGACCCAGCCTTAACCTGCTGCTTCTTGTTCATACCACTTCCTCTTAACCTAGAGATCTCTTCCTGCTTTCTTTCTAATTCTTTGTATAGTTCTTAGATTCCCAAAGACTCTACTGCTTTTCTTGCCAGATGCATGATACTCATGATTAGCACTTAGAAAGGACCTCACCCGAATGTTGGGGCACCACTAAGTGGGCTTCAAAGGGTCTAATTTCTAAAAGATAAAATTTAGGTTAATAGATATCTGCATATACAAATGTATGCTGGCTTTTGTTTTTAATTTTGTTTTTGTTTGGTCTGTAGTATTGAAGGGTACCTTTCTTTTCACTGAATCCCTCCAGTGTGAGACTGATAAATACACAAAATGTAAGGAGGAGTTATGTATTATACATCCTTATAACTAATACTCTTTTCACATAGGTTCATTTCCTATTCTTAAGAAATTTTCAATAATGGACAATGTTTGCTAATAAATAAAGCTGTAAGAGACCTTAACTTAGAGATGTCTATCTCTCAATAAAGGTCATGTGGAAAGGACAAGGAACATACCAAAAAGTGGTTAGGTCTTTACTCCAGGAGGGATAACACATAAAATAAAATCTTACTTTTTAAGGTGCTCTTCTAGTTACAAAGCGTTTTTATATATATTACCTTTTGCATAGTAACTTAAAAAAAAAACTTTATTTTTGAGGCTGGGGAGGGGCAGAGTGAGGGGAACAGAGGATCCGAAAGAGGATCCGCTGCTGTTCGGCGTCCACAGCAGCGAGCCCAATGCGGAACTCGAATTCACTAACTGTGAGATCATGACCTAAGCCGAAGTCGGACATTCACCCACCCGAGCCACCCAGGCGCCCCGCATAATAACTTCTAGTTGCTTTTTAATACAAAACTAAATGTAGAAAACCAGAGAGGCAAAAATGAAAAAATTAAAAATCATCTGTAATCTCACCACCTTATAGCACTATTACATCTGTACTTTCGTTTTCATTTTTTTCTAACTTTTGTATATGTACTTTTTAAGTGAGATCAGACTGTAGGCACTGTGTAAACTGTTGTCTGTCTTTTAAAAAATGAAGTCATCTATATCATGAACATTTCTGTGTCCCTGAGTCTCTAACGCCATGTAGTAGCTTGGTGTGTCCTGTGGCATAGTCCCTCCCATTGCTTGTTTCCCCAATCCTCTGTGTTGGTTTCACAGGGATTGAGAACCATTGCAGCTTAGCTCAGGTGATGTTTTCCAGGTACAAAGGAGTGTTGAGTAGATTTTAAAACATCCCAGCATGATTTCCTCTTTCCAAAACGTGGGCTGAAAATCATAGTCTTAACAGTATGCCAACTTCCTCACGTCCCTTAGTGAAAGTTTCTAAAGTGACATCCCATGAGATGAAACCGTCAGCTTCTTTCTGCTGAATCTGGGCACCTGCGTCAGGTTTCCGTAATTAGAAGACATCTGGGTTACTGTTCTAGAAAGCAGAATTGTGGCCCAGAAAATCACTCCAATGGGTATGACCGACTCGATATTTAATTGATAATGCTGTTATTCCTTTTTTGCAAAGCAACCAAAGGAAATGAAGTCCAGTGCTGGAAGCAAAGGAAATGAGGTACAAAATGATTTCTACAAGATAATTATTTTTAGGAAATAACTCTATGATATCTTATTTTTACAAAGCTTTTAAACTGCCCTTTATAGTTTTATGTAAAGTCAAATTCATGTTTCTCTGGTTACAAACGTAAAGCTGGATAAGTGCAAACAGTCTAAGAAATTTTGTCTTAAAGAGGAGAAAATAGAAATTGCATATAATAATACCCTTTTAAAAGAAAAACTTAACATTTTGGTTCACATCATTCTAGACCTTTATCTATGTATATATTACTTTACAATATATGTACACATTATTTCATAACCTGCTTTTTTCCCACATAACAATGTAAGGTGAGCAGCTTTCCATAACCTTAAATACTCCTAGAGAACATCACTTAAAGTGCCTGCATTGAATTGCATTTCACAGGTGTGCTGTAATGTCTTTAGTCAGTTCTCTCTTATTATAAAACATCTTAAAATCACTCATTTTCCACAGATAAGAGTTAAGTCTCAAACTTCATGACATATTATATGAAAATCAGACATGAAAAACAGCCCTGTTACTTTATGGTATCAGTTACCTTGCCTTTTTACTTCAGGCTTGTGTTCCACTGGATGAAATTGATTAACAGAACAAACTGATGCCATTCCAGTGTTTACATTTGAGTCCGTAAATGACAGAGTGGGCAAATCCTGGGTTCGAAGTGGCCTTGGGGATCATCTGTTTTTTTGGACTAGATGCTAGGACTAAATATACTAAAACTAAAACATATTTGGAATTAGAAAGCCTGGGTTTGAAAGTATTCTGACAGTGACTGAAAATGTGACCTTTGGCAAATGATCTGATAGAGAAAATTTCTTCCTCTTACAGATCAGGGTATAATGCCCAACGCTCTCTGTTCAGAGATGCTGCATATGCAAGATCATCTACACAATGCAGTTGTAAAATAGTGAGGCTTATCTCTGGTGTGGTTGATATGGATTCAATCTCCTGGCTTTACAGTCAGTCACAGCTTCTATGAGAAATCTCTTTGAATTATTTGAAAGGAAAAAGCACTTTATAAAATCCAGCTTTCAACTGCAATCAATCTAGCTCTCCCTGCAAAACCACAACGATTGACCACAACAGGTTTAATACACTACGTTTTCTCTTCCAAAAATCCTTCATTCTCTTAATGGCTTAGAGAGCATTTGCCAAATAGTACAGCCACACCAAAGATGAACTAAGCCTTCCTCCCAGGGTAAGCCTTGTCTTAAGCCAGAGCTGCAAACGGGTCTCTACCACCCAGATATCACAGGAGCAGAGCTTTTGAGTTTAAGGATAGTCTGGTAAACCGGAAAGTAGAGTTATTGTTCTGACCACATTAGCACATTATAAATAAAAATCTATTTCACACATCTCACTGGAATTCTGGACCAAGCTGCAAACACTTCAAGCAGCATAACATCCTTGAATAGTACTCGCTAAGTGTGAATAGACGAAACACAATGCTTCGTAACGTTTCTTAAGTAAAACAGATCAAATGGAAATAAATCTAAATAGTCAACTCTCCAATACGTTGTCATCTTTATAAATGTAAAATCAAAATCTTTACTCCGGTTTCCTTAGAGAAGAAATCTAAGTATATCATCTACTACCGTATGATAACCAAGCAATGTCTTATTAACACTGTCTACTTACATTACGTCGAATGTATTTCTTCTTATTTTTGGATTAATAACAAAATCGTACTGTTGTGTCAGAATGATTGTATTCTTCCTTTTTTCCCAAGTTTGCTAGAGCAAGAAAATTTGATTTAAGCTATTCCTTGAGCTCCCCCTGTTGATGGAATTGTAATATGACTCCTAGGTACATTTAAAATAAACCATAGACCTGAAAGTTGTTTTATGTACTACAGGAATAACCGAGAAGTCACAAAATATACAAAGTGGGCTCAGAAAGTTGGGCCAAAAAGAAAACAACAAAAAAAAAAACCCAAGGGGTTGGCCAGGCAGTAGGAGTGATCAAAGGAAGTCAGGAAAGAGCCTGGGGAAGATCTAGTGATAAAATGGAGTTCATAAAGTCATAGGGCCAAAGATTGTAGTAATCAAAATGCCAGGAAAACAGGAAGGTAGGATATGATACCTCATTTTCAAATTTCAAATAGTAGTTGTTCCTTATCTGTGAGCACCTGCAGCAGGAGTTCACAGCCCGATAAGAACTTGTTTAACAAATCCTCCTGTGGCATTTACTATATACTGGGCACTAAGAGCTTCACTGACATTGATTTATGTAATTCTTGCAACAGTGCTATGAAGCAGATGCTATTAGTGTACTTATTTTAGTTAGGGAAACTGAGGCACAGAACGGTCAGGCCAAGATTCAAAGCATGGCTCCCATATCCATGTTCTTGGCCACTAGGCAATGCTGCCTCTGGGATCGGAAGATCTGCCCTGGGAGAAGCATTATCGCTTGGCACTGATCTTTGTCCTCCTCCTGCCCCTTGCCTCATCATGTTCCCTCCGTTTGCTGGGATTCCAAGAAGGGAGGTCTTTGCAGGTGTGTGAGGAGCATCTCATCCTTTCTCTACTCCAGCCGCTGCTGTTACTGTTCTCACTGTACCCACCCACGCAGAAATCACGTAGCTACCTCAGCCAGAATCCTTATAAAGTTTAGAAGAAATTTAAAAGAATTCTTTCTCAGAAAATGTTGTTTTTGACCTCTCCCTTATGTTTAACGTGCATCAGTGGGGGGATGGAAATAGCAACATGTTGGGGTCTGCCCCCTGTAGCCAACTGACCTGGCTCAAGCCACTTACCCTCACTAACTCCCAATTCCTAATCTGTAAAATGGGCATCATGTTGATCTGCACTTAGAGGGTTGTTAAGAGGACCAAATGACATGGTATGTGTGAGAATCAACTGTGATGTGCTGTGCTGTGCGATAGATGTCTGCTATGGCTCTTCCTGATCAGCCCTCCAGGCTGCCCCTTTGTAAAGAACAGGTATTTACACAAGTGGAGAAATGACTGTAAAGATGGTACCTGACAGGACAAACTGCTGATCCTTATCCTTCTCTGCCCACTGCCAAAGTGCTCGGCTGCAGATGTTCCTTTTCTAGGGCCCCTGAGCACATCCCTCTCTGGCCCCATGTCCCTGAAACCTCAAAGCACCATGTGTGTGTGCCCTTCTTATAGGATCACATATCTCGGGTTCCTACTACCACCCCACATGTCCCCACCCCCTGTCTGATAGGCACGCGTGCATACACAGACACACACACACGCGCACACACACACGCACGGGGCACACAGGGGCCCCTCAGTTCTGCTTTTGTGGTTGTCAGAACTTGGACTGAATGATTACTAAATGATTGAGAACAGACCAAGATGTCATGAATGATAGTTTCCCTAGGGGCACCACTCCAGACCTCCCTAGCACCCCCATGCCTCCTTGACTCACATTATCCAAAAAGAGGTGATCAGTCTGGTTGTACAGGGATCCTGGCTATAGGACTGGGTGAAGGGAAGAAGTTGCATTAAACCCATACCATCCCAAAAGGACCAAAGAGGTACCTTAGAAGTCACCTCCGGATTATGGGGGGTGGGGGGGTGAATGGTGGAGCTCTGGGTCCCCCACCCCTGTTTTAGTCAAGATAGCTCTGTTTTATATATTTTACAGGCTGGAACCCAGATGGAAAATTTCTTTTCAAGAATGTGTTTCAAGGTTAAAAAAACATTTGAAAACCATTGGAGTTAGACAATTTCTGAAGCTTTTTTGACTAAGGTTCTATAATCTGCAAGAGTGCAACATGGCGTAGGAGCTTTACTTTTTTGAAAAAAAATGAGTTTAATTTCAAAAATTTGCTTTGGAATTTCACAACATCCCTAGGGAAATCTGTAGACACGCTGTCACAGAATCAAGGTTAACAATTACTCCTTCTTTCTCCCACCTTTGTTCTTTTCCTTGGAAGAACCACTGTGAAGAAACAATTTCATCACCTACCAAGTGGCCAAACTTGGAAGGAATCAGTTCATCCCTATACGATAAACATTCCCAGGAAGGAGACTTTCCCAGAGGTCCTTATCTGGCAAAATGCTGACTAGAGAGTGATTGTTGAAATGTGGAAACTGATCGAACAGGAAAGCTGGAATTGCAGTCTCTTGAGTTTGCTCTTTGTTGGTAGGCTTTAACTGATAAATGACAGCTTTAGTCTTAGACCGAGGTGTTGGGTAATTTTGTTTATGTGGTGGAAAGTCATGAAGCACAAAGAAGCTATTAGTAAAGCCTGGGTGACTTGAGTTTCATTGAACAGAATAGCCAAACAGATGTTCTTTCAAGGTTCAGGGTTCTCAGACACAGATCCACTACTCACACGCCAACTAGCCCATGCATTGTCACAGGAAGTTCATTTCCTTCTGAACAATTTAAGAAGTTGCAACACTTTTTAGAAGAGACGTCAGTACAAGGATAACACTAAAAACGTTAACTTTTTATGTGGCACCCTCCACACAGTTCCCTTATTTTACTGTGTGAGGCTGAGAATTAGTTGTCATTTTCCATCTATTTCTTATGATTCTGTGATTGGGGTCTGTATCTCCTGTGATTGTACCATCATTTCCCCTTTTATCATTGTTTCCCAGCATCTAAGCCAGTGTCTAGCACATGATAGGTAGTCAACAAATACACTCTAGGTGAATGGATGATTGTTTTCTATTCCACGTAGTCTTCCCCATGAAACATTATCATAGACTATGGCTTGTTAAGAGATAAGCAAGGAATTTAGGTGAAAATTAGCTTTATCCCAGTCATATTTTCTTAACGGAGGTTTCCTGTCAAGTCAAAAGCCATAGCTATTTGTTAACATAGTCTAGGTTTCCAGGGTGTATTATTTGGCGCTGAGCAGAGAAAAGAAGAATATGGTGACATCTATACCTACCTTTCCTGAGGTTGTGTGTTTTTTTTCCAGATGGAGCCTGGTCAAGCTGTTCTGCCACTTTTCCAGTTTCTTAGCAGATTATCCAGTGTGTGCTTTTCTTTACAAGTATAATAAAGTCAATCCATTTATATTTTCAGTGCCATATAATATAAATATCATATATATGGATGTTTTAAATCCATAATCATCTCAGCTGATTAGGATGGCTTTTAACACAGCCATTAATGGTGCACATTCTCCACAATGTTTTCCCCAGTCTATAAAGAATAGACCCTGAGAATGTGAAATTGAATAGCGTCCCTGGCTTGGACTACACTGATAAAGTAATAAAGACTTTGACTGATGGCCATGCAAGCTTTGAAAGTTAATGACGCTTCCTTTTGTCAGAGCACTTTTCTCCAGTCATGTGTATTGTGTGTCAGCTTCCTTGCTGGATTTCATTCTCAGTATGCCTCACAACTGCATCAGAGGTTTTAAGTAATCATTAGATATTAGTTTGAATCACTGAAGAAACCTCTCACCATCTACATTCCAGTTCAGTAAAGTAATAACCAAAGCACGAAGCCTTTTCCCAATGTTAATGGACAACTCTAAGCGTCATTGCTCTGTCTGTGGAGTCCTGGTTTCTCACACTTTGGAGTGTGAATACACAGGTGCCATAACACAGAGATCTGAGGAAATCATCTATAATCATGAATAATTATATCATATTTACATTTAATTGTATAAATTAGACTATAGAGGCTATTAGTATAGGGGATGGATAGGACCTCATACTCAAAAAGGCTCCCTTTAGCTGTCTGCCAGCTGTGCCCACCCCCCCTACTGAGAAAGATGTCCGTGGGATCAAGGCAGGGTGCTTTCCCAGAGTCCCAAGCACAGATGGCACCACCAATGCAAATATTTCTAGACACAAGCAGAGGCCAAAGGGCCACACTAGTCAGTGAGGTTTCTCACAGAGGTGGAAGTGGGGGTGGGGGGAATGGGCAATGGTCCAGATTGGCCCACCTCTCTCCAGGCCACCATGTTCCAATGGAACTTTGAGGAGTTGAAACCTGGCCAGTTAGGTAATATGAAAGCTTAGATGTCAAGGCAGGAGGCTATATCATATATCAGTTTGTTAATTTGATTTATAATGGTTAAATGTTTAGGCATATGGTATGTGGGTCTCCATCTGTGCTTGCCTCAAGCCTCTTAAATGTTCTACGCAGGCTTATATCATCCTGTCTGCCATTGAACTTAGTGAGAATGTGAAAGACACCCGTTAATGAACATGAAATTGTGGATTCTTCGTTTGTCCCAGGGTTTGCATAGTGTAAATACCCTATATAGGGCAGTGAGATTCTCTGTTGTTTAAAAAAATGTCGGTTTTGTTCAACTTGGTGCCTAAACACAACCTGACTCCTTCATCTCATGCTCAACTGAAGAAACAGCAATTTATTTATTTCAAGACAGGAGAGGTTTGGGGGGAAACTAGCTATTTCATGCGTTGGATGTCCTGGGAGTAATTTTAGGGATGGTCTAAGGGATTTGTAAGCAAAATTTCCATTAACATAATTTCTAGTAACCCAGTAAGAAGCAATCCCATGAATCCAGCTACCTGAAGACAATGTAAGATATCACACGGGTCTAACCCAAGGGAGAGAGGGGTCTTTAACTTGCTGCTTCCTTTTCAGGAACAAATCCTAAGTTTAACATTCCTCATTGTCAAGAAAGTCTTCTTCATGTAATTGTCCTTCATATCATCATATTAGAACTATTTTTATTATTTGAAACTTAATACAAGAAGATTCCAACTTGTTATTAATACATATTCAATATTAGATCATTTCTCCTAAAGCTGATTCTGCTGCCTCCAATCCTACCCTGAGTTTCTAGTCTCAATAATTCCACTTCTGTTTACAGTTTCCCACAAGCTTTTTTTTTTAATTGTTGAAGGCATTTATACCATCTCCAAATTTTCCACAACTCTTTTGAGACTAAACATAATGTGGATACAGCACATTGAGACTCATTGCCTCACAAATTCCACCCGAGGTTCTTGTTAAAATGCAGAATCTGATTCAGTAGGCTTAGGATAAGGCCAGAGATCCTATTTTTCTAACAAGCTTTTATATGACAGTGCTGCTGGTCTTGGGCACATAGCAAGGTGCTGTAAGATTTCATCAAGGAAAACAGCAATCTCTGTCCCACTCTTTCCCACTCTAAACCCACTTTTCAGAGGTGATCATTTTTTGAGTTGAAGTATTATACTAACATCATACTAGGATTTTTTGAGAGAAAGAGAAAGAGAGAGAGAGAATCTCAAGCAGGCTCCATGCCTGGCACCGAACCCAATGCGGGGCTCAATCTCACGACAGTGAGATCATGACCTGAGGAAAATCAAGAGTTGGACTCTTAACTGACTGAACTACCCAGACGCCCCTACCATTTCTTGATTTTTTTTTTTAAATTATATATCTAACTCCTGAATTCTTTCTATAAAAGGTTAAACTATGGCTCTTTTATAGCAGATCTCCATACATGTAAATTTCCCCCCACCTTCACAGTATCATTATATAATATATTTTGGCTTAGTCAATATATTCAATGTTTACATTACTATGAGTATAAAAAAATTATTAACAGCTGACCATATATCACAGTATAATTGTATTTCCATTCTTGTATTATTTCTAATTTTCCCTGGATTTATTAGTTGCCTCATTTTTTTTTATTTCATTGCTTTATTTTATGTACCTGTCACTAATATAGCCCAAAACCCTTCTTCAAAACTTGAAAACTTTTTGCAATATGGCCAAACAACTCAATCTGAGTTTTTGTTTTTTTCTTTTTTCTTGGCAACATCCCTCTGGAAATCCTCCATCACTCGCTCTAATTTGGGCTGATTGCCCTACGATTCTGTGCACACTTATTTTTTTTATTTTTTGGGTTTTTTTAATTCCTTTCACCATCATCCTAGGAAGTGCATTTTCTACTTTACTAGATATTGAGAAATTATTCTGTAAAGTGATGTTACCAACTCCCATCAGCAGTGTATGAGTGTTATCATTGGGTTATGCTTTTGATCTTTTTTCTATTCCATTTTCTCTATTAGTTTTCTGGAATTTCTGTTAGCTTGTTATTGGAGTTTGTGTATTAATTCTTTACTATCTTTTCTATCCTATTTTTTTTAATTTCTTCATTTTTTTGTTTTACTTTCTGGGACATTTCTTTCACGTTGTTTCCAGTCCTTCTGCTGACTTGTCTATTTCTCTTATTATATTTTTAATTATTAATTATTATTTTCCGAATGTTCCTTTTGATAGAATCTTAGTCTTGTTTCACTGATGTAATATATTTGTTACATCTTTAAGGATATTAATAAAGAGCTTTAAACATCTTGGGCTTTTTAGTGAATACACACACACACACACAAAAGGAGAGAGAGAAATACAATGAACCTTCCATTTATACATCACTCAACTTCAACAATGATTAACATTTGCCTGTCTTATTTCATCTGTTTTCCCCCTATACACACACTTTTTTTTCTGGAGTACTTAAATTCCAGATAGGATAACATCTTACTCATTGATATTTTGGTAGGCAGAACTTCTGGATAAGAGGTTTTTAAAAACCTTAACCACAGTACACTTAACACAAAAAAACAAAAAAAATAGCAATTTCTTAAAATCTTTCCTTAATAAAACTCCATTATTCAAATTTCTCCATTTTCTCAAAAAGATCTTTTTACAGTGGTTTGTGCAAATCAGTATCCAACTGATGTCCACCCATTATGATTGGTTGATTTGCCCCATTCTTATGCCATTTATTTGTTAAGCTAATGTGTAAAACTGACCCTGATACATTTTTTGTAAACTCTTCATTTGCTTTTTTGCAGTATCTCTTTTTTCTGAGTTCTTTCTTGTTGATTTTTGTATCAATATTCATGTAACAGGTTTTGTCATGTTTGGTGATTGTCAAATGTTTGCTATTTAGGAGAAAGGCACTAAAAGTCTGGAAGCTCTATGTGCATGTTGGGAATTATAGACTTAAGGGTGATTATTAGGATCTGAATGTCTTATTGGGGGCCCCCAAAGGCAATGTCTGTAAGGTGTCTCCTTGAACTTGTCCACTTCCCAGATGTCTTTCCTGGAGATGTCAAAGAAAGGGGCACAGACTTCTTCATAGACTTTTACAGGATCTTCCTCTTTTCTGCATTGTATCTTATCCCTTCCCTCAGTTTGGCCTTGGATCTGAAATGCAGATAGCCTCTCTAGTTCCTCTAATTCATCCACTCTAGAGAGTAACCTTCTGTCCCACTCCAGGGACAGGGAGGGGTGGGGACCTCATTACATGGGTTCAAAATTACTCCCCTGTTCAGCCCTCTTCACTCCCTGGCCTCAGGGCCTCAATGCTTCCAACCCCTTGTTCTGAGAGACACTGCCCCTCATTGCCACCCTCACTCCATACTCCCCCACCTCTCATTGGGCATCTAGATTATAGTTTTACTTTACTAAAAAGTTAACAAAACTTATTGCAGTTTCTGGAGGGAGCAGAGGAAAATACATGTTTTCCACCTGCCATGTTTAACCAGAGGAAAATCTTGCTTTCTTTTTAAATAAATTAATTATGATACTCACTTGTTTCTGTTATATCTACGCACATATGCCTCACTTTTATTACTAGTTTGTAAGGTGAAAGGACTAATTTTTAAAAATTAAAAATAAATAATTATTTGTCTGCACTTAAACTGATAAAAATATGCTGGAATTTTGAGTCAGAAGTTAAATTGTTATGGAGACTTAAAATCATTCTGTTTGTGGAAATGAAGATTTCTCACTCTGTATAATACTCTAAATAACTTCTTCAAATAATAAAAGGGAATGTTCCATAATAGGGAATGTTTAGGGCATTCAAGAATGTATTAATTTGTATAGAAGCAGGCCTACTAATAGATAGCAGGAATGCATTTGTAAGATAACAACTTACTTCTTTCTTCCTTAGGGCTGTCACATGGTGACTGAAGAGCTTCATTCTATAACCTTTGAAACACAGATCTGCCTCTATGGCCTGACCATAGATTTAGAGGTAGGTATCAATTAACTCTTTGCTAATAATATTTTTAGTAATTTGTTGTCATTTGTAGATGAAAGCTGAGTCTTTTCTAGGTTTTAGTACATTCTCTATTTTTTTGTTGTTGTTGTTTTACTTTGGAAAATCATTATGTCAGTTACTAATTAGTCAACATTCTACTGTTAGAATGTATACTATTCTGGTTAAATATAAATGATAAAATCTCATGGGCATTATCAATTCGATACAGATTGAATTTCTTACCCATGTTGCATGTTTGCTGGTTCGTTTTCTGGACTCTTCTGAGTTATGAATACTCAGTGGAAAGCCTTAAACTATGTCACATAGTGATGTATTTTCAAAATTTTAACCTTTACATAAAATCCCTCAGAAAGAAGGTTTTTCTAGCGTAATGAGTAAAGACAAATGATAGGAACTTTAACAGTGCATTGTTTTGATTCTCTTGTAACAGTCACCGTTGTGCTCAAAAAAGGAATAAAGAAATTCTGAGGATTAAATTGAACATAACTGACTCTGAGCTGCTTGAAGGCAGGACATCATGACTTTTTCACTCCTTACCAGTGACTCACTCAATGTCTAGCACATAGTAGCTGTTTGACATTTGTCAAATAAATGAATGAACCAGTGCATGAATGAACAAACACGGTTTTACACACCCCAGATACGATCTTATTTGTGGGATGTACTGTTTTAAAGTCCTGCCTTTCTTTTGTTGTCTTGATGAATGTAAATTTGTAAAATGTTTCCATAAATGCCTTCCTCATCTCTTTTCCCTAAACTTCTATTTCTGTGACCTCTTAAGCTGGGTATTTTACTGTCTACAAAGATCTAACCTGTTATGGGGAAGGGACTAATGTAGGCTGATTGGTTCCACACACTATCTGTGAAAGTCTGTTTATTCCATGAGGTTGAAAACTCTGCACCAGTACTACTAGGGTGAGTTCCACAGCAGACCAGGCAGCTATGTTTCTCCAGAATTGCTCACCTCTCCATCTTCTGCAGTTAAAACGCCCCATATTTAGTACTGACATTAATTAGACTGTCAGATCATAACTTGAATATATTGACCATTTCAGAGATAAATTTAAAATTAAATTCTTTAAAGTAACTTATTAAGAGGACAGTTGCAAAATCAATACAACCTCTAATTAGCTGCATTTTAGTCTATATATATGAGAAAATATAAATATCTGTATGATGTCAAGGTAAGATATTAGAGAACCTAACTGACCAAACAGTCTGAAAGAATTCCTGTTTCTATGGCTCCATTCATCCCTGTACTTTGACTCATACATGCTCGGAAAGTGCCCGTACCTTCACAAGTCATTTTAGTATCCAAGGCAGTGTAGACACCAGGATTAAAGGAGTGGAGCTCCCTTGAGATAGCCCTTCAGGAGACAGAGTCAAGTATAAAATCAGTGCAAGGTGCAACTACCTATAATAACAGTGCTTTTTTTTTTTTTTTTAAACCAGACCAGCTCATTACCTGTGGTGATGATTTCCAATGTCAGTCAGTTACCTAATGCTTGGGCATCCATCATTTGGTACAATGTGTCAACCAATGATTCCCAGGTAGAGTCTCTATTCCTATTTCTCCTCCTTTAATTATATTTGATTTGTTTTATTGTCAATAAAACCCATATGCATCAAAAGATATATATAGATATAGATATATAGATATGAATTTTGAATATGTATCCATATATCTATATATATGAAATTTGGCATGACTTTTTGGGTTATTTTATTCCAGAACTCCAATATATTTAGTTGTATGAATCCTCTCTCATGTTATATTTAAAGCAATATATTCTGATGGGCTTGGACGCTGGGAGGGTTCCAACTAGCAAAACTGACAGACAGGTATTTGTTCTTCTGAGGGTCTGGTCATCTTCCAACTATGTGCATCACAGAGACTTCTAAGCCCATCCTGTGGCTCTGTTAATTGGGCTTGGGGAGACTTCTTGGTCTAGAATTTAGTATCTGACTACTGTGTTTACCTCCTTACTTTTGGCCACACCTCCAAAGAGACTTTTCTACAAAGTAAAAAATTGGCTTCCAAATAAGTGACTAGAACATTAACCAATCTTGCCTAACCTACCCTCTGATTATAAATATTTTCAGGTTGATTATAGATTTAATCCATTCTAGGCTCAAGTTGGGTTTTAATGCCACCTGGTGGTTATTTGAGAAATAGATTAAAAAGTGGCCCTAAGTTACAAAGCAAGCCCAAAACAGATGCTCTTCTTATAAGACAACCAGCGAAGGGAGTGGCAAAAAAGATGAGTCAGCCCTTCCCTTTGCTCCATCTTACAAAACCTCAGTGTTGTTGTCCTGGAAACCACCAAGGGCTAGAGAAAATAGGTCAAATGTAAATAACATTTCTTCCTAATTCAAAGCAAATATTCACTCTTAAGGGAAGAATTTTTTTTACCTTGGGTTCTAGCAACAAGAACAGACATAATGAGTTGGCTCTAAGTGTTCTTTCTCTTTTTTAAAAGTGGGCCTAATAAGGAAACAACATGGAAAATGACTCAGCCTTATTCTTTCTCATCCTCCGGTGCCCTGGCATCTGAAACAGATTAACTGTAGAGAGGAAACAGATAAACTGTAGAGAGGAAGGCTGCACAGGGTACATGGTACCTCGCTTCCTCTCAGGATAATAGTGAGAACAGGACTCATTAGAGAAGCCACCCGGTCTTTAAAGCCAAGAAGAGCCTACACCCCTGGAAATAAATGCCATTTCCCACTGTGAGCTACACATATTCAGAGCTTTTCATTCAACTCCAGGATGTAGGAGGGAAGATGGGTCATTTCTTTGTCCTTGGCACAGTACTGTTGCACTAAGATTTCCTCAGCATCCTTCTTCTGTAAGAAAGCCACCAAAGTTGTCATACTGACCATCCCAGATTCTACTCTGCTCCTGGATGAGGAATCTGGAGATGCAGATCATATATAGCTCCTAAAACTTGGATGCACAGCCTACTTACAGAGTTCAGCATAACAATGAACTCTGGTTCTCTTCTTTATTCTATTCTGCTTCAAAACCCAAGCTCCTATACCTTGATTATATTCTATGCTTTTTGGTCATTCATCCAGACACAATTTTCTGGTTCAGGGGAAACTGTCTTTCCAGAAACTCTCTCTCTCCATTCCTCCCCTTCCTATCTCCCACTCTTTGTTGGGGTTGGGTGCTGTGTCTTCTTTCAGTCCCATTTTCTGAAATCTCTTGGATTGATTCTTTTCCTTGCTGCCCAGCTTAGTTCCCGCTCACCAAAGGCCTTCTCCCTGCACTGCACTAGGTTAGTTAATTCTTGCCCTGCTACTCTCCTTAGGGCATCTTTTTTGGCTTTCATACCTTCTGTTTCCCAGTACTCTGAGATAAAGTCTCCTCTCTCATTAATGTTGACCCAGTTCCTGGTACAAGCAATCTTGTTTGCAGTTTATCATACAGAAGATGCTGCTGTCCAGATCAAAAGAAAAGACTACTTTATTATCCATAAAACAGGACTCAGGTGAATTATGAATTCATATTGTAGGGTCACCTTCTTTAGCCTGAGACTTAACCATTTTTGTGCTGTGGGATGCTTTGTTTGTTCAAGGTGTAACTTGTACCAACCCGTGATAAACTAATAACTTGATATAGGTTTTGCTTAAGATTATTAGTTCAGAAAAGAGTATTTGTCCGATGATCTGTTGGACAATGTTAAGTACTTATATCAGTTAATTGATAGCCCATAGTCTATGGAAATTTAAAAGATGCCCAATTATTCTTTCAAGGATAGATGGAGCCATATATGTTATTGGACTCAAAGATTAAGGAACTCTTTAGGAAAAGACAAAATCAGTTCAATTAAAAAGCACAACAGGAGTGCACCTGGGTGGCTCTGTCGGTTAAGCCCCTGACTCTTGATGTCAGTTCAATTCCTGATCCCAGGGTCGTGGGATTGAGTCCTGCATCTGGCTCTGTGCTGAGCATGGAGCCTGCTTAGGATTCTCTCTCTCTTTCTCTCTCTCTCTGCCCCTCTCCCCCATTAATGCTCTCTCTCTCTAAAAATAAAATAAATCCTTTTAAAAAAAGCAGTTCAAAAGATACCCCAACTTTAAAAAACTAAAGAAGTAAAAATGAAAGGCACAAGAGAGATGAGACAATATTCTGTATTGACTTAGATTGGCATAAAGAGTTTAAAACAGGAACTTTATATATTGAATTATAGTGTGCTCAATGTAATTAATGAATACAATCATCATTAAAAACTCTATTTCAGAACTTGGTTTTTTTTAATAATCCTCCATCTGCCACTTTGAGTCAACTCCTGGAAGTGATGAGCTGGCAGTTTTCATCATACGTAGGTCGTGGCCTTAACTCAGATCAACTCAATATGTTGGCAGAGAAGCTTACAGGTGAGAGCTGGTAGATGTAGAAGACTTGGCCTCTGTTTTGGGTACTCAAGTATTTTAAAGAACAAGGTGATATTACTACTACCGATAATAATAATAATGATAGTCATAATTTATTGACTGTCTACCATATTGTGAGGCACAGAGCTAAATGTTATGTTTTCTTTCCTCAGAAAGGGTATCTCATTGTTTTCTACATTTTATAGATGAGGGTACTTAGTTTCAGACGTTAAGTGACTTGCCACGGCTGCGTGGCTAGTACACAGCAAAGCCAAGACACGGGCCAGGTCTGTCCAGGTCCAAAGCCCCTTCCTTTCCATTCCACTCTCCAGTCTCCAGGGTGTTTCTGTGCCATTTCCACTGAGTGTGATGTGAAGCCTTGATGGTGCCTTGATCCTTCATGTCAATATCACAATGGTCATTAACAACTGGACAATAGCTGATTCCTGGACCAGGGAATTTACTAGAAATTCAAAGCCACCCATGCAATACTTAATCCTCCGTATCAAGAAAATTTCAGTTTTGACTAGTATTTTTTAAACTTGCAAAATAGTCATTGGTACTTCATATAGTGACTATAGTGTAAGATTTTTCTAAAAGAATTTCAAAAGATATCTACATTTTGACAAGTCTGGGTGAACACATTTAGCATTGGATTTGTATGCATTTCTAGTTAAAGTAGGGCCGAAGATAGATTTGAGCAACAGCAGTGAAATCGTGTGTAATTTGGCAAGTGATGCTGGGTTGCCACTTGTACCTACTATGTGATCAATAGGTATTTAAATAAATCAGACCTATTGAAAAAAAATAATTAATAAATAAATCAGACCTTTGGGGAATATTGAAAAATTTAGTTAATGTAAATATGCTTTTTGAACTTTAGTTTATGAACTCAATAGTAGGCATTCAGTAAATATTTGTTGATTGAATAAAGTTTTTAAATATATAGTACAGATAGTGGCCATACCCTTTCAGATTATTATCAAATTATCCTTGTGGGTTATAATTTCCTTAAAAATGTAGATAGAAACTTGTGTATCCTTTCATTTCCCTGGATCAGAGGAGTCAAAGGCTCCTTATTGCCTAATGGATCTCTAGTTCATTCTTTTCATGGCAATAATCAGGACTCCTGGTAATCTGGCTATATCTAACTTACATAAATTTATGTTTATTTACCAACATTAGGCAGCTCTTACTGTCTCCTACCTAAGCCATGTTCATGTCCACTATGCCTCATCCTGCATTATTCTTACTACTGGAGTGGTTTATTCATCCTCCTGTGATAACTTATATCCTATTCATTCACTGGGGACCTGGTCCTAAAAACTCACCCTCTTCCTAAAACTATCTTAGCTCCTCCACTAAAAAGAATTTTTCTTAGATGATAAATTTCATATCTTACATCTTTACTGTTCCTAGTATTAAGCACACTGTAAACCCATAGCGGGTGCTTAAGAGATTCTTGAAAGGGGCTGGGCAAAATCTAAATTGAGCACCATATTGAAGAGTTTAATTGTTCAATAAAAATCTCATTCTTTTCTTTCATTTTAGTCCAGTCTAGCTACAATGATGGTCATCTCACCTGGGCCAAGTTCTGCAAGGTACAAACAGGGGAACAAGAATATCATTTAGATCATTTTTTAGTAGTTCTTCTTTTTAAGCCTCCATAGTATTATTGGGGTTTTAAGGTTTCCTGGATGCAGTTATTTTTTTAACTCTATTGTCTGACTTAGAGGAAATATTTCATTGAAAAATGAAACTTGAATTATTATATCAATTACTATTGAAATAGTATTTGAAATAATATTCGATTATTACTATTGAAATAATCATTGTCCTAACATGTTTTTTTATTCCACTAGGAACACTTACCTGGTAAATCATTTACCTTCTGGACATGGCTTGAAGCAATATTAGATCTAATTAAGAAACACATTCTTCCTCTTTGGATCGATGGGTGAGTTACAGGTTCTATTTTCCATAAGAGTTCATTAGGTTCTTATTTTTATGCTGTTGTTTTTTTCCCTTCTTTTTCTTTTCTTTTTAAACATGTTTAGTGTCAGGGGGGTGGTGGGAATGGTTCGGTTTCCTACATTCTTCACAGAGTACTGATATCTAATCTTAGAAGACTATTCCATTGACTTTTATTACACTCAGTACAAATCTGTTCTTTGTGGATGAAATAGATGCAAGTGTAATAAATCATAGTGTTTGATCAGATAAAACTATGCATTGTTCTATTTTTAGGTATGTCATGGGCTTTGTTAGCAAAGAGAAGGAACGACTCTTGCTAAAGGATAAAATGCCTGGAACCTTTTTGTTAAGATTCAGTGAAAGCCACCTTGGAGGAATAACTTTCACCTGGGTAGACCATTCTGAAAATGGTACATGCTTACTCTTGTTTATTCATGTGAAGTTAGTATTGACTTTGACTATTGGTGTTTCAGTTTTCAGAAGTGTGTAGTGCGTGTTCTGTTTTTCATGTGTTCGGTGAGCTTGAATATTAGTTGTTACAGTTGTCCCAGAAGAGAGAACCGTGAATTTTTCACAGCCTATGTGGGTGTCCTCTATCACATGGCCATATGTACCATCCACACTGCAGAAAAGGGCTAGCATTGTTTTATAGCCAGTGACATAAAGATAACGTGGGTAGGAAGAATGCCCGCAAAGAATGCCCTGCAGAAGCCTGAATATTCCTCCCCTCATCCACCCTTTTTTTTTTAAGTTTATTTATTTATTTTGAAAGAGAAAGAGGGAGAATGGGGGAGGGGCGAAAGAGAAGCAGCATGTGAGAATCCCAAGCAGGTTTTACACTCTCAGCATAGAGCATGACGTGGGACTTGATCTCACGAACCATGAGATCATGACCTGGGCCCAAACCAAGAGCTGGATGCTTAACCAACTGAGCCACCCAGAGGCCCCTCACCCTTTCTGTTTTTCCAGGAGAAGTGAGATTCCACTCTGTAGAACCCTACAATAAAGGCCGGTTGTCTGCTCTGCCATTTGCTGACATCCTTCGAGACTACAAGGTTATTATGGCTGAAAACATTCCTGAAAACCCTCTGAAGTTCCTTTATCCTGACATTCCCAAAGACAAAGCCTTCGGTAAACACTACAGCTCCCAGCCGTGCGAAGGTTAGTTTCTTTCGGTTTGCTTGTTTTGTCCAGATTTTGGAAAATGACCTCATACTGGAGTAAAGTAAACAAAGTTCCTCTTTTTATGTTTACTTTGATCATCGTAAGACCTAGGGGGTACATGGAGGTCAAAGCCTTAGAAATGAAGTAGTGTGTCAGTTTCTGAGGAGGGATGGCTGGGGCTGTCCAACTCCAGCAGAGTAGTTAGTAATCAGTAGTTGTGACAGGACTTAACCATGGCATGGTGGCCTCTTACAGCCACTTGTAGAGTTTGAGTTTTCTCCTTCCTAAAATAGAAGTGGTGCTGACTTCACCTCTATGACTTTGGGAGAAGAAAAATAATGAGGAAGTAATGATTAGAAAGCTGTCACAAGTTAGGCGAGTTTGTTTTCTGCAAAAGAAGCCTGGGGTTTACAACCTTTATATTTTTTACCTACTATCATCGCACAACTCAGATTGTATGGTTATTTGGCAGGGAGGGGACAAAGGGGTCTGTGCTTCATTCCCCACTACTGCTGGCCTACCAATAACAAGTCTTGACATGCCTGCCTTTCCTGGTTGCAAAGGGGCTTAAATAACACCTGATCAAAATAAGTAATTGGTAAATATTTGTTAAATACATGACAGGACATAAATAAAATTAGCTATGTAACTGTAATGTAAGTTCACCATTCTGTGTCTCTAATAAAAGCGTATATGATCCATTACAATGTTCATGGATAGCCACTAAATCTACAAGCACCATCTTGTGAAATATCCTGCAGTCGTTAACTCCCAGATAGTGACTTGCTGCTGCCCTAGAGTTATCTTAAATCTCTCCAGCACACAAATAAATCAGTCTTTACAGTCAAACTGAAACATAACATAGAAGATAGAAGATAGGTAATATAGCTCACTCTCAATTTTTCCCATGCATTTTGGAGACAGTAATATGCAAAGTCAGATTAGGCCTGTCAAGAGATTTGTTTTTCTCTTCTGGCACATTTCAGGTTCTCTAAAATACTGTTTCATCTATTCAGCTAAAAATTTTTGTGAATCGCTAAACAATCATATTATCTCTCTTCTTTTTAACATTACTTATATTTTTCTAGACTCTTTAATAATTTTATCAGTAATATTGGTAACATTTTATCCTGCCTTTCTTTTCTAGTCTCAAGACCAACAGAAAGGGGGGACAAAGGTTATGTTCCATCTGTATTTATCCCCATTTCAACAATGTAAGTAACCTTAGCCACATGTAAAATATCTATTACTGAATTTATTTTTTAAAAACTAAGGTTCTCTACAGGAAATTGAAGGATAGAGCAGAGTACATATACCTGACAATAAAGCATTTCAATGCTCAATGTCCCATTTTCTTTAATACATAAAGCGACTCTTCAGAATGCTCCATAGTCTACCATAACTGGAATTATAAAGTTGCCCTTCTATATGCTGTATATTCCATAATAGGCTGAGTGCTCTCATTTCAAACAATGAATTAGGCATCTCCATGTCACAAATAGATGAAGCCCTAGAAATGAGTTCCATTTAATCCTTTTCAATATGTACTTTGTTATCTCTTTAAGCCGAAGTGATTCAACTGAGCCACATTCTCCAACAGATCTTCTTCCCATGTCTCCAAGTGTATATGCAGTGCTGAGAGAAAACCTGAGTCCCACAACAATTGAAACTGCAGTATGTTCCCTTTCTTTTCCATTGCTGGTCAGGGGCACTCCTAATGAAGCAAATGTGGTACCTGTTACTCAAAAGGGCTCAAGTTCTGCCTGAGAAGTGAGAAAACACATTTGTTGGAACAATTCCATGTGCATAACACTGGGTGTGTCTGTATGTTGCTGTGGGTCACTGACGTTATGGGCATTGAAAGCAGACACCTTCCCTCATTTGAACTGCTTTATGTTCTCTCCATCAAAAGCCACTAAAGGGTGAAGTATTCCTGTGCCTCACGCGTGTTCTCTTTGTCTCTACTTTCACCATTGGCCACTGGTCAATATTTATTTTAGTTCAAGCGTCACAAATTCCAATTCTTCTTGATTAATTGTCACTTACATTAGTCTTCAAGTAGTATATGAATTACAATCAGTAGCAGCATAATAATACCCTCCTGAGAAGTGAGTCACAATCTTAAATGCGAAATGTGATTTAGGATGCATTTTATCTATTATTGTTCCTCAATACCATCAGGTGATTCAAACCCCCAATTTACATACGGATGAACATACTAGAATAATAGAATCTTGGAGAGACCCTGAGCCCCAAGAGATTTCTATCTGGTGTTGGGAGAAAAATTTTTACTTTACTCATCAAGATTCATTTGGCTAATCTAAGAATTAAATTGACATGAAATGGATGAATAGGAGAAAGCCAAATAATTACTAACTAAATGAAGTACTAAGAGAGAGGCCATTAGAATTTGAGGCTCACAGTCAGACACTTGAGGCTTATATGCCATTCTGAGCCAAGGAAAAGGGGCTAGGAGTATGGGACTTCAAAGGAATGAAGACAATTCACAGGAAGATGAAAAAGAGTAAACATTTCATAAATAAATGTTTGCTGGACCATACAGAAACGATGGGACACAGAGCAGAATTTTAACAAAGTGTTCATTCCTCCCTGTCTACCATACCTAGTTCATATTATACTGTAGTTATCTATGGTGATAGCTCCCTTCCTGGAGCAGGTCCTCTATCTAAATACTTTTAGACAGGCGGAAAGTCAAAGTTTCTTCCTGAGCCTTTTGTTTCTTAAAAATAATCATCCTAGGGGCACCTGGGTGGCTCAGTCGGTTGAGCGTCTGACTTCAGCTCAGGTCATGATCTCATAGCTCTGTGAGTTCGAGCCCCGCATCGGGCTCTGTGCTGACGGCTCGGAGCCTGGAGCCTGCTTCGGATTCTGTGTCTCCCTCTCTCTCTGCCCCTAACCCACTAGAATTCTGTCTCTGTCTCTCTCAAAAATAAATAAACATTAAAAAAATCATCATCATCATCATCCTAAAATAATCCACATGCTAAAAAGACACATTTTGGGGTGGAAAATATTACTCCTCTACACAGGTTATAAATCAAGTGAGTTTTAGTCCTTCTCTTGAAGATTTCCAGGGATGGAAAATCCATAGTCCCCTCTGGCTTATTTCAGTGTTAGTTGTCTTAAATCATTTAGCTATAGGAGAACTTTTGCTACACTTTACAAGCATTTTCTCATTACATTTTTGTGGGATGAAATTTGTGAATACTTAGTAGTTAATTGGTAGAAATATTATGATGTATATAGTAGATAAGAGACTGTTTACCTAAGAAATTATGGCTTATTTGCAAAACTAATAGTTTCCCCAAAAATCATTTTCATTTTCCAATTTTAGATGAAGTCTCCATATTCTGCTGAATGACAGGATAAACCCTTGACACTCAAAAGAAGGAAGCAAATGAAAAAGCTTAAAGACTGATCTTTGCCAACAATCATATCTTATTTCTTCAGCTTTGTATAGACCAATTTCCAGGAAATGGTTGAAGTCTGAAGCTCTCCTTTCACTGGCATGACACCACCAATTGGGAATGTTTTGATTGGAATGCTAAGAACCAAAGCTTCAGATAAACTTGCAAGATAAGACACTTGAAGAAACCACTGTTAATATAACATTAACAAAAGACTCGTTTGTATATATTTGTTTCATTTCTGATTTTTTTCTCACATGTTACTTATGATTTTGGCTCCAGAAGGATTAAGTATTAAGATTTCAGAATAGAGGCACCTGGCTGTCTCAGTCAGAAGAGCATGTGACTCTTGATCTTGGGGTTGTAAGTTTGAGCCCCACATTGGATGTAGAATTACTTAAAAATAAAATCTTTAAAAAAAAAAAAAAGAAAAAAAATTTCAGAATAGGTCAAGAATGATAGAGTCACACCTACATCAGTCAAAAACCAGCAAGAAGGCCTAAGAGAAAAGCCAAATAAGCTAATGTCCTGAGTTCTGGCAGGTAAGAGTCGTCACAATAGATACCAGATGGAAGGAACGGTGAGACACGAACGGCAGCAATTCACAGGGTGTCCTGGAATGAATTATGAAGCCTCGTGATTGCCATGTCAATACTGTCCCAACTTTGGGGTTTACAGCTGTTGGTACCACTGCCGGGGACGACCTCTCCTTAGGGGAAGGAATTCAGTATCATTCTCTGGTGGTATTCTCAGGTAAATTGCACTGACAGTAGGTACAGAGGTAAAAATCTCATGAAACAAGGGCTCTAGAAGGGCTTGGACCAGGTGAGTCCTATGATCCTTTCCAGCTCTGAGGCTCCAGTCCCATGAATCCAACTTGAGTCTGGGAAAGCGGTTTAGGATGAAGAGAAGTTCCATCCCTTCAGTTTTCTCTGGTGATGAGGGAGGGGAGGGGTTTTACTGGATGCTAATACAAGTATATAAGCTGCAGATCTTTTCTGATCCTTGCCTTGCTTTAGTGGTGACATTGCCCAGATACTGCCCTTAGTTACTAATGCAGGATCCCCCAATACCCAAGACCTGGAGAGGTCTCTATGTCTATAAGCCCTAGGGAAGTTGTTGAACCAGGTGAGGAAGTTACAATACCAAGACATCTGCCATGACCAACTACAAAAAATCTTGTTGCTGGTGTTCAAGGTGAGGTCTGACTGCAGAATCAGAGATGACCATTCCCTCTAGAGGATCTCTGTGTAACTTCTTCTGCCCACCTTTTATCCCTGAGGCAAGCCACACAAAGAGAGGCTAATGTGTAATGGAAAAGGTTACAAAGAAGAAAATAAATATATATATTTTTAATATAACCTGTATTCTCTCTTAAAGAGAGTCCATCTTACCAATTTCATCCTTTATACCCACTCACATGTGCCCAACTGGATCTTATATTGTTCTTTGAGAGGCAAGCTCTGCACCTGCCCCAAGGCCCGTTCCCTTATTCCTTTGCAAGCTCCTGAATAGTACTCTTATGGTCAAGGTGTCTATTGGATGGAAGACCATCAGGCTAACTTGAGGTGCATTCTCCCAGCCTCTCTTCCATAAGCCCCATTTTCTGAAATTCAAATATATCAATTGGCAGCAACATTAGAGTAAACCATCATAAACCTTAAAGAAGTAATCTCCAGGAAATCTACCTGGAAATACTCTTAAACAATTGGATTTAGAAGCTAAAAAATGTTTCAGAAGCTTTTCATTCCCTGGAATGTATTAAAAGTATTATGCACTCTTATTCAGCAAAATTTTTAGAAACTGCCTAATATAGAGCCTGGTAGCAGAATACCAAGGTCTTATGTATGATCTCAACCATCATTGTTATTTGAGGGTAGATAATACAAAGACATCTGTAGTTTGCTCTCTATAATAGAAACAGAGGCCATGTAGTAAGAATAAGAGTTCAACAAGCACCGGTTTTCGGTTCAGAAAATCAAACCCAAGCTCTTGATCCCAGTATAGAATTAGTTCCCAAGAGTGAGAGTCTTGCATTCCAGAAATCATGTTTGTGAGAGTAACAGGATTTTGGCAGGGTATTCCTGGATATCCCTGTTTAGTTCAGGGCAAGGTGTGTGCCACATGAGATGAAGTGCAATGAATGGGAAGGGAATTTAGACCACACTTCCAACAAATCCTCCCTCAAAAAAAGTTTTTTTCACAACTGGCGGCAGCAAATAAGTAGCATTTAATGAAACAAAGTGTAGATTCACTTTTTAAATATCGAATCACATTTTCACTTCTCCCCTCACCCATCCCAGACCAATCACAGACGTCCATTTTGCTAAACCCTTTGCAAATTCTTTTTCATGTAGACTCATTTTGACCAATTGTCCCAAATATCAATGCCTTTGTCTATAATGTTGAAAGAAGGCAGCTGTCAGTGGATTTCCTCAAAGTCTTCAGGTGGCAAGGAAGACCCCCAGAGACCCATAAAGAATGAGTATGCTTCTGTCAAACCCAAGGGATTTTTCTTTACATGTTCAGGAGACCCAAGAACTCCCTGCAGAAGAAGGAACAGAGTAGAGGTCAAACCAATCAGAGCTATATTCCAACAGCAGATAAGTGTAGTCTGGACTTAGCAAACTGCCTCTGTGCACACTCCAATTTTTCACAGATACTTTTTTTTTTTTTTTTTCAAATTGACCATGAGCATTCATTGATTCGACTGCATTTTTTAGTCTGGCTTATTGAAGTATAATATAATAAAATTCACCCTTTTCTGACAAGCCCATACAGCTGTGTAACTACCACTGTAAGAACATTTCCACCAGAGTCCTCACAAAGAGGATGCTAGAAAAACATGAGTAAGGACATTCTCTGCAACATCCTTAAATACAACAAACAACTCCATGCAGCTTCCTATGTAGGCAGACAGCTCTGTTTAAAATAAATTGGGGGTTGGGGGCAGGGAGGGGCGCCCGGGTGGCTCAGTCGGTTAAGTGTCCCACTTGGGCTCAGGTCATGATCTCCTGGCTCGTGAGTTCAAGCCTCATGTTAGGTTCTGTGCTGATAGCTCAGAGCCTGGAGCCTGGAGCCTGCTTCAGATTTTGTGTCTCCTCTCTCTCTCCCCCTCCCCCACTCCAGCCCTGTCTCTCCCTCTCTCAAAAATAATAAACCTTAAAAAAATGTTAATAAAAATAAAAATAAATAAATAAAATAAATCAGGGGGGTGCCTAGGTGGCTCAGTCCCACTCTTGATCTCAGCTCAGGTCTTGATCTCAGGGTCGTGAGTTCAAGCCCCACATTGGGCTCCACGCTGGGTGTGTGAAGCCTACTCAAAAAAAAAATAAATCAGATAATTTTACCCTCTGTTTATAACCTTCAAATGGTTTCTGGTGCTCTGGATTAGCAGTTCTTACCCGGGGTATTCATGAGTTTGGATGGCAAAAGAGTTTTCACAGACTTCTAACTGAAACTTAGAATTTCCTTCAATTATGAATAAAGGCAACAAACCATAACCCGCACCTTTTTCTCACATTAGAGTTGTTACAATTATCTCGAAATATTTCTTATGCTAAGTACAATTTTGAAATTGTCATCAGACTCACTGCTAGAGCCTATTTAATGCCATTAACAAAGAGGCACTTGTATCACTATATCACAAAGTTGGTTTTAATATTCTGATATCTGCATCTCACTGTGGTTGCTTTTCCATTTAATCTCATGTATTTTCTTTTATTCAAGTAAAAATATTACTCTTTGCAGGAGTTCATAGGCTTCATCAGACTGCTGAAGGGGCCCGTGGCACAAAAATTTAAGAATCCCAACTCTGGGATGATGACCATAATTCTCAAGGGATCTTTCCAAAGTCATATATTATTTAGTCTCTTCTTAGTCTTCAACTCCTCTCTCATCACCTCCCCCAACAATGGCTTCTCACTCTCCAAAACATACATGCACAAGACTGTGCTACTCTCCATTTCTTTGATGGCCCAGGTGCTCTCCTGCCTCCCTCCACTGCATCTTCTCAAGTCTCCAACCCCACCTTATCCACCTTGCTACCCGGATAATGTTCATACATCCTGAGGATTCTAGAAAGCCTTCTGCCCCCACACTCCCCATGTGCACATGTGAATGACCCCAGGTCACATCATGCTTCCAGATCCCCCAGCACCGTTCCTATCAACCTTGTTGTAAAGGCATATTAGCTGTCCTCTTCATTAGACTCTAAGCAAACTCTCTATGGACAGGGACCAAGAAGGTTTTGTTAACAGTTATATCCCTAAAATCTAGTGCAGTCTCTGCCTCTTAATAAATACTTGTTAATGATTTAATATTTGAACACATAGAAGACAGTAATTAGTTCCTTTCTTTATATTGCTCCTTGACCTGCCTGCAAGACTAAGCTAGAATTCTCCATACAACCTTCCAAATTCTAAAATTATGGGATAGTCACTAATATTATACTTCAAATTTAGTAACCAAAACATGCTTGCCATTGCTTCCCTCTACTTCACCTCACTCATAACTTCCAAACTCTGTAGAAATGCTCTGGATGAGATTGTCTGATTATCTGCTTATTCTAACTTCTCTTTAATTTAGAAACCTTATACGTATGTGCCTAACATCCCAGACTTCTGTTCATCCATAGATGAACCAAGTGCTCTTGAAATTTCCCCTTAACTCTGCCTTCATTAAACTCATTGCCTTTACTACTCCTAGGGAAAGCCCTACACAACACTCTTACATTAGCCTTGACAGTCATCCAGTTAGATGTCTCACAGACTGCTGTCAATGGGAAGAACCCTAGACGCTGTCTAGACAGGGTGGAGATGAGGAAGAGGTTGATAAGGATGTAGAACAGTGGTGCTCTCATTAAAATCCTTTGGGGAGTTTTTAGGAGTACACATGTCCTTTATTCTCCTCCCCTCAATTCTAGCTCAAGAAGTCTAGAGCCAGTGTTGAGATC